AAGCCAAAGATCTGCGCCTGACCTTGGCTTCCAAGCCCCGAGGGGGGAAAGGACAAACATCTTGCATGCCAGAACTGCATAGTTGAAACACATATATCCCTATGGCTCCTGGCCCACCTCCTGAGAAGATGGTTGGGGTGGGTGCCACGGGGGTCTAACCACCTTCTGAGGATATGGTTGGAGCCCTAGGATACATACCTGGAGCCTGAGTGACCCCTGTTTTGGAGGATCAACTATCCAAAATATGGTCTTTTCCTATCAAAACAGAGGTCAGTCAGGCTCTATATATATATATATATATCATCACCCTCAGGTTGGCTACATCACCGATTCCAAAGATCTTCCAAGAAACAGGAAGGAATAACGTCTACACCCACAGCATGTTTTGCCGAACAAACATCCGCATGTCCCTTCATTCCATTCCGAAGAGCGAGAAAGAACCACCACACCGGCGGGTCAGTTTCATCTCATTTAGCTGGAATTGACCATACAAAAACACCACCCAGCCCGGGCTCGCCTGGTTCTCCCAGCAGTGCTCCACTTAGATCCTCTGCCTCCTCGTGACTCTTTACATGGTTCTTCTTCACCTTTCAATGAGCCTTCCAATTCTTGTTTCCCCAAAGAACCTCAACTGCTTGGTATATATATATATATGAGGTAGAACATAAACTCATCATCTCTGACAACCAACCAAGTGGGTTAGTTAGCCATCCACCCACCTGGGTTTCTTCCGGGGCACAGGTGCCCAATTGTTCCGGCTCAGTATCCAAGACTTCCGTGGAGATCTTCCTCAGCTCCGCAGGACCCGCGAGTGGAGCGGGGAGCGAGTGGATGGGAGCGTGTTTTCCGCCGCCGGGTTGTGTGGGATGGGAGTGTGGAAAGGGACACATCGGCCGTCGTTCGATGTACCTGGAGTCGACCCGTTCGTAACTCGGGTTCAATGGGTACAAAGTACCTGGTTTTTGATGGGGTCATGTCCCATGTTCTAAGGTACTTGAAGTCGGGTCCAGGTAGTTCTCTCTGCCCAAACCATCCATATGAGACTGGCATACATACTTGACCGATCTGGTCAGGGGCCAGGGGTGGTTGGTTGGAAAGACATCAATTTTGGATATTCTATGGATGGTCTGGGATAGGCAAGTTGGGCAAATGATGGCAAATGGCTCATTGAGCTGTGAATTGTTCGGGTCCACCCAACATCACCCCAACATCTCCCAGAGGCACCTACCGAACCTCAGGTACGATCCGCGCCAAGCTACCGAACCCAAGGACCGCCTTCCACGGTGCTCCGTGCTCGTCCTCCGCGCTCCGCGTCACGGTCCACGCCGTTTGGGAGCCCAGTGGCCAGAGCTCACGGTCGAAGATGGGGACCACCTCGCTGGTGACCGAACCACGCAACGAGAGGACCGTTGTTTGATGTGTTGCGACGGAAGAAGAGTCTATAAGTCATAGTCATCTGAAAAAGGACAGAAAAAAAACATCGCTGAGATCCACTGAGTCATAGTAAAAGCATATTATGTTTAGGCGAGTGCTGTCCGGAATTCAATCTCATTCTATGTCAGAAACTTCCAACTGTGCCAAAATGTCTGCCCACCTTGGCTGCGTTGTTGTCCATGAAAAGGCAAACATGTTGCACAGTTGGAATGATACACACACATCATAACGGCCTTCTCTGCGGAGAGCAGCAAACGCAAATCCCCGTGGACTCTCTAAGACTGAGACGTGTAATCTGCTAAGGTCCAACTTCATTGTATACACTGGGATGACTGCAACGATCGCTTTCTATGTATGATGCCACTGGCATGCCGCTGTACGCACTTCCTGTACCTTCGTGGTAAGATGCAATTTGTATATCAGAAACCATGTCAGTGCCCCATTCAAATGAATGGACCCGTTAAGCGGAGAAAGCCAGTTTCTCGTCGGGCGGAGAACAGTTATAGGCAAACACTCCATGTATATGTGCCATATATTTGCTGGATCAGTCTGGGTGTTTTTTGGGGGGGCCAATGTAGGCATATACCAGCACCTTCCAACAGGCTGTTTGGAGACCCTAACAGGTGGTTTCTGGGCACCTGTTGTCACCAGGAAGCACCTGTTGGAGGGTGCTGGTATATTCCATATAAAATGTGGAGTGTGTGAGTATTAAATACATGATTGATCCGGGTGTCCTCAACGGCCAACTTATCACATCTGAAGCCGCGGAGGCTCAATGTCTTCAGCTGGACTCCACCATAGAAACGCTTAAAACCAAAAAAACAGCATGGCCTCGGTCGGATAGCTCACAAGGAGATCATAGAGGTTGGCAGAGAACTGATGAACATGACTGCCTCACGTGGTGGCAAGAATGCACAGAAACCCAATGCTGCCTCGCTTCTTTTGAGCATTCACCTATACCTATGGCTCTAAGACAATCTCTATGACCTATTGATAAGAGGCATATGTTGACATCCAATGTAAATCTAGGCCAATCCACTACATGTACCTCATCTTTGACTCCCCATAGTACCTATGATGCATCACTGCCCTCGGTGGAGTCACGTGGAGTCGAGAGTTCATCCATTTTTCCCGACAGGGTGCTCCTGTCATGCGCCACTTTTGGGCCATGAAATCTGATACTCTGTTGGCATCCAGACTCGTCTTGCAACGCGGCGCGCAAGACGTGGCACCCAGGCCAGGGAAGACTTCCTCAAAATGGAAGGCAGCGCGCCTCCTTGGGGAAAACATTATCAACCGCTGAGTTGGACACATACACTCATGTCAACTATATACTTGGAGAAAATCAGGATGAGGTTTTCAGCTGAAGTCCGCCTGGCCAACCCTGGGCCAAAACTGATGCTCCATGATACTCCCATAAAGAGTAGGAATCAAGGGCTCCCTAGATACTCCCCGTGTGATCACCTCATCTCTTGCATGCTTAACCACTAGCTAGTGTTTACAGCAATCTCCAAGCCACAAACTTGCTCTCCCCGCTTACCGGGGTGATGTCTCTTTTTGGCCCCTGCTTGTTCTCTGCGGTGCTTCTCATCAACTCGTTCAACTCGCCGAGCCGACGTACTCCGCAGCATCTTCAGCCGCTTCCTCTCCGCCGCCATGGCACACATCGAAGACGCAATCCGCAAAGACCTGCCGAGTGACAAACCGTAAGTCCATCCAACGTCGGTAGGGCGCAAATTGATCGAGCTGATCAATTAAGGTCTCCCAAAACACCCAACAACAACATCAACGACGCATAAGGCCCATAAGGTAAGGCCAAGCCATGGCCAAGCCATAGAATCCAATCGGATGTTCCCATCGATTCACTAAGGGCTGTTGTTTCTGTTGTTTTCGACTTCGACTTCGGCCGATCACCTTCACTCCACCTACTTCCGGGACCTCCGTCGCTTCGACATCGCTTTCGTCCGTCCGTCCGTCCGTCGGCTTTCGTCGCTTCGATTCCGGTCTCTGCGTGCGTGGCGCAGGGGAGGTCTGCGGGGCGGCTGAAGATGGAGGTTCTTCAGCGATCGGATTTTGATCCAAACGAAAACGAAGAAAGCACCCAGCCCACTGGATCCGCACGAGGCAACAGTCATTTGACCTTGTGGGAACTCAGTCCCTTCCAGTTTGGGAACTCCACCTAATTCCAAAGTGGGAATACGCTCATAGATCTTTAAATCAAAGCTGCATAGGCTCAAGGAAACGTGACACCAATGCAACATCTTCCCCATGCGATTTACCTGTCTAAATGAAGCATCACCTGCTTCGTCGTCAAGCAAGATGAAGGAGGTCATCCCACCTGCCACCCCTAAGGATCCATCTCAGAAGGTGGCAATGGATATCGGATGGTGATTTGTAGGACCGCCCGAGTGGTGCGATGCGGCGCCATGGTGGAAAAACGACGTCTACACTCCCTGAAATCGTTAATTACACCCTAAGAATCCGGGCCCGAAGCAACAAATAGGGTTTGGTGAAGGGGCCCGGACCCCCTGCGAAGAGGTCGGGTCCGACCCCTGCCATGGAGAGCCCGGAGCTCGGATTGTGACATGCAAAAACCACCTGGTTGGTCTTCGGAGAACTCATGGTCATCCATCGGGGCAATGCCATCTACTTCCGTGATTGCAGGGAGTGTATATACAGTATATGGAGTCTCCAAATACCTGAAAAATCTGAGTACTATATATAAACTATAGTACTCCGTTTTTATGGTCATGCCCCATTTTCTCAATGTACTTGAAGTCGGGGTAGATTTGGTTTAACCATCTGGGTGCCTCTGAGGTCTCTGGCAAGTGCTTGCGACAAAGCTTCAAGGCATCCTGAGCAGACTCTGGGGGAGTTCAGTCCATCTGATGCATCTCGTTCGGGCTCCGTTCGGCCGCTCCCTCCGTCGCTTCGATGGGACAGGGGTTCGGTGGGTAGGTAGGTGGGTGGTTGCCAGCGGGGTTGAGGTCCCCACCGAACCTTTTCAGGATGTGGGCCGTTTGGAGCACGTGGGAGCCCCATACGGCCCCCCATGGCAGCCTGGTGGCTCCCCCCTATAAGGAGGAGGAGTGGTCAATGGACAGACCGAAACCTGGAACTGCCAGGGGCGATCCCAAAACGACAGCCCTGTGGCTATAGGGGCACTGGGTATGGCGATGTTGGTGGTTTTTGGGTGGCCATGTTGGTCAATGCATTTGCCTCATGGGTTCTCTGAACAATACCATATCCACGTTTCGTTCGAACCACGGTGGCCCACGGTGGCCCACCTGGCGGCTCGGATCTTGGACCCGCTCCCTGAAGCGAATTCGGGCTTTGGACCGAAGAAGCCTGTAGCACCGTGTAGCACTGTAGCAGTTGGTTCGGGTCCGCCTTCAGGTGGTTCATACCTACAGTAGATCTTCCAACTGTGCAAGGTTTGATGCCAACCTTGGTTGATTTAATTGATGAAAAAGGCAGGACATTCTGCACAGTTGGAAGATCCAGGTATTATGTTACACTGTTACACTCAAATCTAACATAGACCCTGACTGTCTGGCCCACTGGAAGTTTGTTTTCCTCTGTGGTTTTCAGGGTCCATGTTAGTCTTCCAGGCTGTGTAGGACACGCCACATCAACACCCCCAGTCACCACCAAGAACAGAATGCGAGTTTCACGGGTTCTCTGGTGTATACACTCTGACGAAGCCCATCATATGGAAGTGGATGGTATGGTTTTGCTGGAAGACGATTCTCCTCTACAATCTACAACCAGGTGGTAGATGGTAGCGGGTCACCCCTTCTAGGTAATGGTAGTGGGTCCGACTCCTTCAGATTCCCTGGATAATAAAGCTCATATAACCATGTCCATGGTTCAACCTTTTCCATGGGGTGCCACCATTCCCCCCAAAAACAAGCTTGGGTAGGTGATCCACGTATGACTCCTGGGTATGGGCTTCATTCCTACGTCCAAGAAAGAACCACATTGCACCTCCCTCCACACCTGAGACCTGGCCAGGTCTCTTGTTCCCCGTCTTCCATACAACCCTTCTCGGGTTGATCCTTGGCGGCCTGTTCCACGGCGTCCAAATACCTTGGATTTGCCGGCTCACGGTTCGGAAGCCTGGAAAAACATAGAAAAAAAACAACATGTGGGGATTGAACATGAAAATAAGGACAAAACCCGTTTGGCCTCCAGTCGTACCTTCGTTTCGGTTCGGTAGGACTGGGGGCCCGGGTGCCATGTTCCGTCGGGTCCAGGAGCCTACCGAACCGCTGAGGTTCGGTACGACTGGAGGTGGGAAATAAACCCTAGGGCTCCAACCATATCCTCAGAAGGTGGTTAGACCCCCCAAACCCACCCCAAACACCTTCTCAGGAGGTGGGCCAGGAGCCCTAGGGAAAATGAAATAAACACATGCACCAGCTGCTTCCAACGGGTCACCTGGCTGGACAACCCTACCCTACTAGCCTAGGTCTCCTACTCCAGGGCACCCATTGGAAGTGCTAGGCTCCGCCCAAGCCACTCGGAGGCCTCTCGACTGCCACCCAGCAAACGCCAATCGTCCAACGACTGGAACTCCGCATCGGTCCTCATCTTCAGCCACAAGTTCGAGCGGGACCTGAGCATGCAGAGGTCGGAACCGGAGGCTCATAGCAAGGGATTTGGGGGTTTAGACCCTAAGAATCCGAGCTCCGGGCTTGACCTCTTGGCAGGGGTCGGACCTTCTCCACCGTTTCACGCAGGGGTAGTCTGGGCCCCTTCACCAAACCCGGATTCTGTTGCTTCGGGCCCAGATTCTTATGGTACGAGTAGGCCTTATTTAAGGGGAGGCTATTCTTTGGAATGAAGAAACAATTGAAAAAACAAAACGTCAGGGACGATCGTCCGGACTGGAAGGATGGATGGGCTTTCAACGTCCCCAGCACCATCCAAAGGGTGGTTATTGGATAGCAAAATACATCTTCATGGGGGGTCTATACACCCAGATGTTGCATCATTGGAAGATTCATGCCTCCAAAAACCCAGGTCAACCACTCGGTCGCCGGGAATGCCAAATGCCAAACAGCTCGCGTCTCTGTTTTCATCCGACTGGGGTCAGCTCTGGGTCGTGGCTCACTCCGCAACAGTTCACAAAAGAATCTGCTTGTCCGGTGGTTTCCATGTGCGAACAAGCAAACTGCCCCGCGCCCCACGCCCAAACCGACCCGACTCGTCTCATACCGATGGGATGGGATATGACCCCATGAATTAAGAAGAGTCATGTACTTGTATCTCATTTTCCGAGGTACGAACTGAGACTCCAGGATGGAATAGTCACATACTATAATATATCATACATTGGGGTCATTTTCATGGGGTAAATGTAAGTACATGTAAGTACTATGATGATTGGTCAGTGGTCTTCAATGATCCCAAGTAGATATTGAGCAATATTGCACATACCAGGACCTTCCAACAGAATGGTACGTTCAATATACATTTGTTGGTACATGCTATGTCATGCATTTCTTTTACATGGATGGTCACACCAGGGTCTATACTGCAAATAGCCTCTTAGAAGAAAAGAAAAGGTGTCCAGAAACCACCCACCTTGGAAGGTCCTGGTATAAATCATCGGACACCACCACTGACCATCCAAGTCACACCCCATGACCATCGGACTGGAAGGCTTCAGTTGGTGACCCTGACTGAGATCCCGAGATCCCGAGGTCAAGTCCCTAAAGAGGTCGCAAAGAGAGACAAGATAAAAAAGGAGAACTGACCCTAGGGATCCGTTTTCGTACCGAACCTCAGGTTCGGTACGACTGGCACCTACATGTCTCAGTGTCGAACACATCACCGAGCCTGAGAAGGTACAACTGGATCCCTGCATTGAAGAAGGTCCTGGTACATCTACCCCCATCAACATAACCCATTCAATCCATGTGGGAGACCCGATGGTCCGGATCGAAGTCTGTGTGTTTCCCGTTTGGCCTCCTGTCGTACCTTCTGAGAAGGTGGGACTGGGGTGGGTTTGGAGCTCCACTTTCCTTCTGAGGAGGTACTTGGAGGTGTAGGGATATGATGATATGACAACATATTACCCTGAAAGGCGAGGATACGCAAAAAATGACATCACCCCGATCTGCAAATGCAGGTGCTTGCCCAAGACACAGGAGCAAAAGCTTCTTCTCCTTTTCGGGTTCCTTCTCTTCCTTCTCAATCTGCCCCAGTTCTCCTCCCGCAAAGTCTGCATCGCGGAACATGATGATCTTGTAGTCCAAATGCCTCTTGAGCCGACAGGTCACCTGAAGCTCAGCCACTTTCTTGGCGCCTTCCTCCGTGTTCATCAGCAAATTGATTCTTGAGAAGAACTTGGGTCGGCTCCTGAGGAGTCAAACCGAACGTGGCACCCTGATGCGCCAGAGTTGGATCCTGATGAGTAAAAGGGTCCCCCCCACCAAACAAACAGCCCTAAGAATCCGGGCCAAAACAAGCAACAGTATCCGGGTTTGGTGAAAGGGCCCTTTTCCCCCTGCTAAGAGGGAGAAGGTCCGACCCCTGCCATGGAGAGCCAGTTCGGATTCTTAGGGAGCATTATATTAGACGACCCTATTACCACCCTATAGGGATCCAGTTGTATCTTCTCAGGTTCCAGGTTCGGTGATGTGTTCGACACTGTTGTGGGTTTGGAGGGTCCAGTCGTACGTAGCTTCCGAGGAAATACTTGGATCCCTATATTATAAATCAAAATCCAACTCCCTACCCCAACTCCTTGAACCATTCTTCTCACGGTGGAAGCTATCCAACATCGAAGCTCTCCGAGCTCCCACGGTTGAACACAAGCAGCAGTGACCAGGTTTGAAGGATTCATTAGTCTTCTGTTGAACATGGCCCGAATGGAACATCCTCTCAATGACCGAAAGACATGCTGGACCCGACTTCAAGTACCTTAGAGAAAGAGGCTATGACCCCCGCCCCCCCCAAAAAAAAGAGATACTGTATAAATATAAATATAAATATATATATATATATATATATTTGAGACTCCAGGATCACATCTTATCAAATGAACAACAAACACATAAACTCACATCAAATTAAGGCTTTTCTTTTCAGGCATTGTAGATAGGACATTGTTATCGACAACAAGGCTTGTGTTAATATTATTATTTAATAAAACACACACACACACACACCAAACATCGATTTCAACCGTTCAGGTGTCCCAGCTGGCTTCTTGAGCTCCGTGATCTTGAAGCCGCTGAGGAACGCCTCGCTTCCAGGCACGAAGAGACTTCCCTCGGACTGCGTCGCCTCCCAGCGGTGTTTGGCGCCCGGCTGCTGGTGCCAATCGCAGGTCTCAGTGGTCAACTCCAAGGCTTGACGGCTCGTATGGTTCGAGTGGTCTCCTGAGCCCGGAGACTGGAGCAGGTCAGGATCAAAGTGGAACACCGGCTTCGATTCGTAGAGCCACATGGGTCTTGTTAGGGGTCTAGAGTCTATGTTTCTATACTTCCATGTGACGTGACGTGAGAGTCGCCATAGGAGTGTATCTGGCACGGATGCTTGGGTGGGTGTGCGGCAGGGGAATGCACGTATTATTTGTGGTCTCGCACAGGAACAAATGGCCCTAGGGCCCTATAGGGCTCCAACCTATATCCTCAGAAGGTGGGGACTGACCCCCCTGGCACCCACCCCAACCACCGAACCTCACGGAGATAGGCCAGGAGCCCTATAGGAAGGATCAACGAATGCTTCGATTTGGCAGGAAACGAGCCCACAGAACTTCCAATGAGTCACTTCAGTCATAAATCCACCAATGACTCTTGGGGGTGAAACAAACATCCAGTCATTTGGACATCTGGGGCGATGTGCTGGCTCAGCCGATTGGGGGATGAGTGATTCACCTGAAATCCCTAACCAGTCCACTTCCCTACACCTCCAGTCGTACCTCCTCAGGTTCGGTACTTAGACCCTCCTGGCACCCCAAAGACCTTCTCAGCAGGTACGACTGGAGGCCTAGGGCTTCTCTTCTTCTTCCAACGGCTTTGACCGTTAGGTGGGTCTCTTAGTTGGGACCCAGAGCCGCTGAAAACGCTCTCACCGGTGCCATGTTCGACCTGCAGGATGGCATGGTCAACCGATATGATCCATGCAGTCGCACTGATTCTTCAGGATTTTTCGGCACGAAAACGGGACCCGACCTTTTGGCACAATCATTACCCGTTTGGCCTCCAGTCGTACCGAACCTGAGAAGGTCTTTGGGGTGGGTGCCAGGAGGGTCTAAGTGCCGAACCTGAGGAGGTACGACTGGAGGTGTAGGGCAATGTCGAAGACATCGCCGTTCACATGAGAATGTACGACTGAATCCTAATTGGGACGTTGGACCTTATCAACATTCCGCCGATTCGAACCGGCCAGTCGCACTCTCTGCGTGTCAGAGTGAAGCCGTTCGAGGGTAAAACCCGAAGGCGGTGTATGGTTGTCTTTGGAACGTTCTGGTTCGAACTATAGCTATAGCGCTTTGCCTAGATCGGGTGAAACCTATAGACACGAGTTGAGGGGTGGTTCTGCATCTCCCGTAGTCTCGATGCACCTGCGAAAATGAGTGCAAGTACTCCGGGACGCTACGAACGGAACACAGGAACATCGCTACGAACGGAGCGATCGGACGCTACTAGGGTTAGTATAGGGGCTCCTGGCCTTACTGCTAGGAACAAGGATGCTACGAACGGAGCTTTTAACGCGGTCCTTTAATAAGCTGTAGGCGGAGTCGGGTTCAGGCAGTTCAGTCCCATGGTGCGTCTGGTTTGGTCGGATCAAACCCAGTAAGGCCCATGACTTAAGTCATTCATGCCGAACTTTCAGATACAAGTCGGTACAAGCACTTGGATCGAAAACTGCCAGTTTTGTTCAAGTCTCGCAGCAGAAGCGCATGTGTCAGGAAATTCTTGCCAGCATATCGTGCAAAGAGCTGCCATGTGATTGGGGCTTTCTGCAGGCCGTGCGCTGAGCGGAATTTCCTCTCGACAAGCACGGCATTACGGCACGTCTGCCGTACCCGACACCGACTTCGTCGTACCTCCTCAGAAAGGTATTTGGACCCTCCAAACCAACCCCAAACACCATCTCTAAAGGTAGGCATAGGGATATGCAATTCGAAGCAAGGCATGCCTGGACCATCCTGTCGGGGTGTCAAATGGAGATTCATCAGTCATAGTGTAGGGGATTTCATTGGGCACCCCGACAGGATGGTCCTGGTTTGTTGTTGTGTGTTGCGGAAGTTCCATTTTCACGAAAGCTAACAGGTGGGTTCCTGTTTTGACATGTGTGGCTCACTAGGTGACATCCACTTGTCTAGTTTCTCCCCGAAACTCGAAGCGCTATAGGGTTCAGCAAACAACACCCTTACCAAAAGGCTCAGGGATTCCGAGGACCCGAACAGGCCCTGTTCCATCTGAAAACGCCAGCACGGTGAAACACAACTGACAAACGGACTGGGGTTTAGTAAATGCCTAGCAAATGCCTATAGGGAATACATACTGGAATACATGGGAATACACAATTTCCAGGATACATTGTTCCTCTTCCCATTCGCGCACGCGCGTTAAACGGTTTCACAAGGCCCGAGGTACGTCTTCTTGCTGAAGTTGAAGGCCAAGAAGGTTCCATCGTTCCTGGTTGGTGTTAAAAACCACTTCAAAAAAAGGATGGTTCACTTGAGAGACAAAATTTGGAATTGAAACATCTGGCGGTTCACGAACACAACAACGCAACACTCTGGCGATGGCCGAAAAACAAGCTATAAAGTTCCAAACCACCCAAACCAAAACACATTGAACAAAACAACGGAACAAACAATCCAATCGCAAATTGAAACTTTGAATGCCGCATGCCACATGCCCACCTAGGTGTGAAAGCCTATGAGTACCAGGAGTAAGGTATGCAAAGCGGTCTGAACATTAAATCCTCCAACGCCTAGAGCTCGTACATCTCAGAGGTTACAAAACTCTTGGCTGCAGTGAAGTAACCACTGCACAGGCCAGAACACTGTTCTATAGTTAAGAACGGGACCAAGTTCTCAGGTAAAACTGCAGGTACGCCGAGTTGATCAGACTTGGTATCGCATGATTGTGGTAGCTTCGTTGAGTGCGGTCCCACAATCATGCTGCACTCCCCAGCACTAAAAGACCAAACAGTTCCCTGTGAGACCAAGGGTTTCACGCACACACACGAACCCCCTTAGAGGGGGGCTAAATTTAGGCTAGGGGCCAGACTAAGGTGCAAGTGTGCGCGCAAAGCACAAAAGTATGAAGACATGAGAGGAAGACGAGACAGGACAGTGTATGTGGTTGCGATGAAAAGGAACCAAGTGAACAGGAACAACCAGATGAGCCATACCTCATTATAACCACATGGGAGACCTCAGACCTGGGCTTAGTGCACGAGTGCACGTGCAAACTAAGGGCCGGACGAATGTGTGCGCAAAAGAGAGAATGAGATGACAAGACATGAAGACAGAAAGGACATAAAACGAAAAAGGAAAAGAATGTATGTGTGTGTGCGCGAAGAGAAATGAAAAGGGAAGCCAAATGGAGGGGCCGGAAAAGAGTGAAGCCGAGCCTCATTAAAGGACCAGTCTGTATGTGCACATAGGGCTCCGGCAGATTTCGCTGGGTCTTGAGTACGACGGCCGCTGCGGCCTCCATGCCAAAAATGGCGGGCTACTCATCATGAGGTCTTAATTGACGTTTGGCACAAGCCTCCTGCGCTCGCTGCGAGCTACTCTGCTCTCCGGCAGGGAGAATGGGACAAACCCCCGTTCAACGGGGCGACGAGGGGCACTCCTGTGCCTCACCCCGGGCTGGCACAAGGCCAAACACTCTTGAGAAGTGAAATTGAATGCCACATGCCACACGCCCACCTAGGTGTGAAAGCCTAAGAGCACCAGGAGTAAGGTATGTAGAGCGGTCTGAACATGAAATCCTCCAAAGCCTCCAACGCCTAGAGCTCGTACATCTCAGAGGTTGCAAAACTCTTGACTGCAGTGAAGTAACCGCTGCAAAGGCCAGAACATTGTTCTAGTTAGGAACGGGACCAAGTGGAAAGTGCGGGTACGCCGAGTTGAGCGCGGTCCCACAATCATGCCGCACTCCCCTGCACTTAAAACCAACAGGTTCCCTGTGATTCCAAGGGTACACAAACTTGAGCACACATCGTTGACAACATACCTCCGCCCAGCAGAAGAAATCGCCCATATGGACCATCTGGACCATATGGTGTAACTGCCAGGCTTCGCCATCGTGTAATGTGCTCCTCTCAAGGTCTCAATGTGAGGATCGCCATGTCCGCCACCCGAAGTCGTCGTGGTGGTGGGCTCTGGCTCCGGGGCCGTGCAACCTGACGCAGGGCAGGGGTGCAGGGCAGGCGGTGTGGACGAGGGACCTGGCAAAAGGAGTGATTTCTGCATGAGAAATGGACTTCTGCCAGCTGAGAGCTCTCTTAAGTCTGGTTTGGGTGGCCTAGCATGTCAAAGGACTTCCCGGTCAGCCAGTTTGCGGGTTGTTCAACAAGATGGTGGGTGGAGTGCAAAGGTGAAGAAATGAGGAATAACCACAAGCACATACAAGCACAGTCACTATCACCATAACGAGAACGACAATGACGACTACTTCAACTTCTTAAACATGTGTATGTTATTTTTTTTTAATGTCATGCGAGTCGGGCAGTTCATGGTGCACGGACGTCTCGTTTCTTTGACCCATGCCAACTATTATTCTGTTCTGTTTCCCTGCACCTCCAAGTGACCCTCCAAACCCACCCCAAAGACCTTCTCAGCAGGTAATTGGAGGCCCAGGGTTTTGAAGCACCTTTGGGATTTGCATCTCTTTTCATGCATCAGTCCAAGTTTTTTTCAGCCACCGTTTCGGCCCGTGAAACGGCGACCATGACCTCGGGTGACCAACCGCGTGACCAACAAGCCGAATCAACCGTTCTTTGTTCGTATGCCAAGAGATGGCTGCTATTCCGGTGCCAACCTCACAAGCACCAACATGGAAAGAACAGGAACCAAACTATGTAACCCAAACCATCCATGGGACGGGCCTGTATGATTACATTGGGGTTGGAGGGGTCAATGGGGTGGCATACATTCCATAAATGGATAGTCTGGGAAAGTAGGAGCCTGGAGCCTGGGGCGAGAAGCTCCACCAAGGAGCTGGACCTTCCAAAGTCTCAGTCCGCTCAACCCTCAAGACGCAAAAATGCAAAGGAAACAAAACATACCCTACAGGTACAGTTGGACCCGATAAAACCCAGTTCTTTACCTCATTGAGTAGTGTGTTTTGCAAGATCAGCAAAATGATATCAAACTATAACCTGTATAGCGATAGAAAGCGCCAAACATACAATTCCGACAACTCCTCTGCCGCATCCCTGGCTGACACATCATAGCTTTAAGAATTCATGTCCCCCAGGTCGTCGACCGCACAAGCACAGACAATGGCAGAAAAACTATCAAAGAGCTTTGGACAGATTGGAGGGAATGGCAGGAGATGATATCGATCGCGTGATAAATTACTTGTAATTAAAAGCACAGCTTGAAGTATACAAGAATATACCAAGTAATTTCCTGTCTCCCATGCTGCTTATGAACAAACTCACTGATGTCTCCCTACGTTTCAGGGAAAAGGCTCAGATTAAAGCTAAAATGTAGCAACAGTTAAACTCCAGGCTATCGCTTCATGTAAGCCTATGGAACCACAGGGAGCCTGGACAGGAAATGCTAGCTCGGGCAAAGGCGGAGTCGGACTGTTTGGGTATTACCTATATCCCTAGTCCGGTCGTACCTTCTCAGGTACGGCGATGTGTTCGACACCATCATGTATGTGCCAGGAGGGTCCGTTTTCGTAGCCTTCTCCTGAGGTTCGGTACGGTACGAAAACGGACTCCCAAACGGGTTTTTCGGTCTGGTGTACGGCTCCACGGCTGGGCGAGAAACACTCCATCCGCAGGTTGTAGTTGTCGATGCCACAGCCACCGGTGGGACGCGAGATGCAAAAGATCGTCACATCCTGTCGACAGGTATCTGTGTCGCTGCACTGCTGCAAGCCATCCTGGAGCGGGGGATCCGAAAGCACAAAAGGAGAGGACCGCAGGTCACCGCAGTTGGTTTCTTCGCGTATCCGGACTTGATCTCCTCATTGGCTCGGTCACTTCATGAAGTCGACCGGTCGTTTGGAGACTGGGACTCCCCAAGTTCGGTGAACTGAAGAAGCCAATATCAAAACACTGAACACACTTCATTTGGTACCCTATTTCATCCGGGCCAAAACAAGCAACAGAATCCGGGTTTGGGGTTTAGGGGCCCTTTTACTCCCCCCTGCGTGAAACGGTGGAGAAGGTCCGACCCCTACCAGTTTCGGTCGAGCCCAGGCTCACTCGGATTCTTAGGGTCTTAGGGTACTACAGGGTCAAAGATCCAAGTGGGTACTTCAGGGTACTACAGGGTACTACACTGAACACGCTTCTTTGGTACTAAAAGGGTCAAAGATCAAGGATTCACTGCGAGAGGAGTTGATCTCACCACTCCTTCACCCCAAGTTCACGGACCCCGGATTCCGGGACGCTGGGGCGTGAGACGCCCACCGGACATGGCATAGGTTTCAACCACCCCAAAGTGGTAAATATATGCACTCGAGGTGTCTATAAATAGCATCAAAAAGAGGCTATACACAAACCACCGGACGAACGGAAGGTCCTGGTCCCAAACGGGTCGTGTCTGGATCTTGGATTGAAGTACTTAGGGAACATATTTGCATTGTCCCTACACCTCCAGTCGTACCTCCTCACAAGGTATTAGGACCCTCCAAACCCACCCCAGTCCCACCTTCTCAGAAGGTACTTGGAGGCCTAGGGCCTAGGGTGTCAAAAGCACGCCCAATTGGAGCCCCTTCAGCTGAGCGTCTGTAGAGGTCCGGCAGCTCTGGGTGTAACAAAAGGTCCCTCCGATACAGCCTTCATCCTCCGGCGTTCCGCTCTTCACACAGGCCCCCAGGATCTTCGTGTTCGGAGGCGTCACGAAGCAAATCTGGTTCCTCGGATCGAGCTCTGGACCCGACGAACGTCTTCGCCTGGACCCGACGTTCCTGGCTTTGAACATGGGAACGTTCCCAAACACAGGTAATCCTAGACTTCCAACCACTATTAAACTAATAGATATTAATTGGCCGAATCCCGAACCAGCTAAGGACTTTACACAACAAAAACCAGTTCAACCCTTTTTTTAATGGTCTTGGAAGGCTAGGGGTAATCGGGTTCTTCAGTTCGTGACCGAACTTGATCTCCCAGTTGGTTCGGTCACGAGAGCGGGGGCCGAAGGTTACGAAAGGGGAATCCAACGAGGTCACTTTGTACCCCCTTGTTCTGAGGTACGAGTTCTGGGTTGACTCCAGGTACATCCGGTTTAGCCCGAGATTGAGCTTCGGAAGACCATGGGGACCTCTGAAAAAAGTGAGAAACACACACATCTGAACGGAGAGGGTACACCTGAACCCAAAGCAGCAAACCTAAACCCAAAGCATCCATGGAATGGAATATTGAGCCCAGGTCAAGAACTGCGGGCAATGTGAATATGCCAGTCCCATGGATGGTCTGGGGACTAATGAAGATCACCCCCGATCTTAAGTATACGTATAGTGGAAAGCACACCTCTTCCCAAGCGGCCAGGCGTGTGGACGATTGTTCGGTCGGTTGGGTGATGATCCTCTACTGACGGTGACTGCTCGGACACACGAACATGGTTTCCCCCAATTTGGGGGCCACAGCCATGTGAACAACGCTTACCATGAGCAGTCGGCCTTTGAAAACAGGGCCCTTCGATGCTCGAAGTTCACCGTGAGACCTCCGCCTGTGGATTGAACAGACCTCTTCGTGGGAGGTGTCAATCAAGATCCTACATACGTCGCGTAATCCGGGACCAAGAGTATCAGCCCTTTCCGCCATTGAACCAGAACTCAAGAGCCTCCAAAATTACAGCGATGCGTTGAACAAAAAAAACATCTGGCCATGGTAAGATCCAATATTATATAGCAACACACACCGGTTCGATTTCAAACCCATCATTCCCGGACTCGGTCTTGGTGGTCCATGACATTCCCGGACTCTATAAACAGCTTCCCTGCAGGAGAAAACATGTGACCCACACGCGACCCGGACTCCCGAATCCTCTGGAGATCTGGGGTCGAACCGATATCCCATTGGGTTCGGGACCCGGAAAGGGCGTCGTGAACGACGGGAGCGTCTGGGTGACCGAACCGAACGAATACCTGTTCTTGTGGAAAGATGGGGAAACCATCACTCCCAAAAGAGGTTTAGGAAGGTTAAGTCGGGTTCTAACATCCACGGATCATGGACCCCCAGAAATGGTTGGGATGGTTGTCCGATTATATATCCATACTTCCAGGGTGGACAACCATCATAGCAAAACAGGGCTCTGGGCTCTGGGTAATCCTGGTGGTGCATGAGCTTCCATCGAAAACCCTCCTCCAAGAGCTTCCCTCACTGTCAGCGCCATAGCGACCCACGCCCCGAAGCTTCCCCCTGGTGGTCACTCTTCCCCCACCACTCCAAGGTGCCGGTCCTGAGACTCAAACTGCACTCCCTCGAAGCGGCACGTGGTCGCTTGCACTCCCTGTCTTGGATTTGCTGGGAGCCCGGAAGCCGGTGAAAAAAACAAAGAATCCCATTCTTGAAGAGGATTCACCCAGTTCGGGAATATGTTTAATAATCAACCGATTCGCAAGGCAGAAAAAAGGGCCTCGGCGTAGGGGCAAGTCGAGGAACCATTGGCGTCCCCGAACCAACATCCAGCGTAGTCCACCTCCGTGGCGGAAGCGCGTCAGCCAAATGCCGGCTGTGGTTTCGAGGTTGGCGGAGAACGACTGAAGGCGGTTGTGGCTTCGCGCCGACTTGTTGGGCGCGTGGGTTCAAACGAGAGTTGGGGGGAGGGAGGGCGAGATGGACTCTTTGGAGCAATACGACTAGTAGTAACAAAAACAAAACAAGAACAAGAAGAACAACAACAACACCACCAACAACAACAACCACAACGACAACAACAAGGTACCAAAAAGAACTACAGCCCCATCAACACGTAATTACGGTATCTTCATACTTTGTCTCTACCCCCTCACCTAGCAAAAAAGCTGCAGCCCCGCGGTTGTTTGTTCAGGTACTGGTGGTGGTGGTAGTAGTAGTAGTAGTAGGTTAGTAGTCGTAGTAGTAGTAGTAGTAGTAGTAGTAGTAGAGGAAGTAGTAGTAGTAGTAGTAGCAGTAGGTTAGTAGTAGTAGTAGTAGTAGTAGTAGGTTAGTAGTAGTAGTAGTAGTAGTAGTAGTAGTAGTAGTAGTAGTAGTA